GTCTCTGCGTGATCCACCAACCCTTGCCTCCCCCCACCTCCCACCTCCAATGTGCCAAAGCTGCCTCTGAGATGCATCGCCGTGGACGGAGTCATTGGTATCTGCACAACGACGCCTCCGACTAGCACACGGTTAGCTACATACTGTACGGTGCAAAAGGAGTTCAACATACACACGCACATCGCAGAGACACTCAGTAACCGCCGGATCAATCTTGTCCCAACGTATTTGCGATCCAACCAACCATTGCCTCCACAGTGCCGGGTTACAGGCGTGCACCACGACTGCAAGGAGCCAGTAGGCCGCTGGCGTATGCCAAGTACACGTTGGCCCAACGTTGGCCCAACGTTGGGCCAACCGTCTCAACCACATGCCAACGCTGGCCCAAAGTTGGGCCAACCGTCTCAACCACATGCCAACGTTGGCCCAATATTGGGCCTACCGTTTCAACTATATGCCAACGCTGACCCAACGTTGGGCCAACCTTTTCAACCACATGCCAACGTTGGCCCAATGTTGGGCCAACCGTTTCAAACACATACCAACGTTGGCCCAACGTTGGCATGTTTACTGGGCAGCACTCATGCTGATTGTCAGTGTTATTTTCTTGTACGCACGCGTGTAATGAATTTTGTTTGGATAACCCCCCGTGTCTTGCGACGTGACACAGAAGGCCACTTCCATAAGCAGCGATTGACCAAACCTCACATTTTCAGGACCACCCTGCAGAAGAAGAAGAAGAAAAAAACGAGAATTGAGGACTCGGCGAGTCTTTACTGGGTAAACAAATGGGTGTATTTACATCCTCCAAGGAGAGAACAACATCACGAGCAGCTTGCTGATGTTCCCAATGTGCTGGTTGTGCAAGGGTGAGACCGTCTTTTAGTAGCATGATTCTTCTGCCCTTTAGCGGTCGCGCGACAGCCCTGGGTCACGCCCCATTAACTATGATAATCCGACCGACATCACACCGAACTACACCGTTGCGGAATTATTACACGTTGTGTTTTTATTGATATGCAAACAGCCTCGTTGTGGAACAAAGGTGAAGAGGAGGCTGCGGGTGATGTAATCAAAGTGATTGTAAAGGGAAATGCGCTGCAACTGGAGAGTCGAATACATTATGAGGTTGCATTCCTTACACACAAAGTGCTTGCCACAAATGAACCACAATTCCTTGCTGATCTCGTCCAGGAGGATGAACCACCACGCGATCTCCGGTTATCCACGCAGCAGCGGCTTTTTGGCTATTGCCATCGAACAAAGACGGCGGCGGTCACCGCATCGCGCGCGTTCAGATGCGCTTCTGCGGCCGTCTGGAACGCTCTTCCTTCCGATATTAGGAAGTCACTGGAGTTTACGCACTTTTACATCGTTCAGATTGGAAACTCAATTCTTTAGAACTGATTTCTTAGTTTAGTTTGTTGTCCTTCTCCCGCGCCTCCGATTAGCACTTTTGGCTACGTTATGGTGTGAAGGAAGTTCAACGTACGTACATCACGTATAGAATTAGAACCTCAGATTGGATAACAGTGGCTCGTTGTTGTAATAGGCATCCTGCGTCAATATGTGACTCGGTCGCTCGCGGCGCTTGAGTAACAATTCTTGTACAGAGTCGAGGAAAGGACTCATCCTATCCCGAAGGAACCAACCAGGCACCTGTAGTAATAATAACAAATGCACGACCGATGGCCTTTGACTTAGGGGTAAACAAAAATGCGCAATAAAAGGCATCACTGTGCTAACGTGACACTGTGTAAGAGTCAGGTGAAGTGCGGTTTTGTAAAATGGGTTGTAGTTGACGACGATATTGACCCCCTTCAGTAGCACAATGGACTTTGTGTAACTCAGCGGTCGCCGGTTCAATTTCCCTTTCTCGAAACACAGCAGTTGAATCAATGGGGGCAAGAGTCGGCGGAGAACATCCGCCCCGCTCGCCTCCACCACCTTGCTGGCGATCACCACAGCTGGTCCGATCGGCGGCAGATCGCGTGTGGTGGTTGTGACATTTGTTTTTTTGGGGCACTCAAAACTTTCCCAAGACGCCCGGGGGGCCACCGTGAACGACGTTCAACGGCGTAGTAAACAACATCGGTGGGGTCGTGACTACATCATCGACTCAGGGGGTGATGCAATCGGTCAGGCGGGGGGCGGCGGGGGGGGGGGGCCCGATGTTTTTATTTCTCTCGCACGGACCGCACCTCGGCTGATATATTGCGCGGCTCCCTCTTGCCGAATCACATCGTTGCGTAAGTGTGTTGTTCTTTGACACTGGTTGTTGAAAACACATCTTCATGGTGGTTTGTCAAGGGGGCCCCACGGGGGGGGGGGGTATGAGCAAGGCACTCAACCCCCCAAGGATGTTACGCTGCTGAAGACATTTGACCGACGGCAGAATACTTCGCGATGCGCCCTCCTCTAGCGCGCCCTCTAGCAGATGCCCCTTCACGTCGCCAGCAGTGGTGCCAGCGAGTCAATTGCAGGGCTGCACCTTTATTTATTTAAGATATTGCCTGTTAGAGCGAATTAGACCAACAGTAGGGGGGTGGGGTCTGCCTGGGATGAATAATTGCACGCAAACACAACAACAAAAACATAAATAACAGCGTAAATCCGCAGCGCGATGTAATTGTCACAATGCTGTTAGCAGCCTCGCCTGACCACACGCGTTGTGACTTTGGGGTTTACGCGGACAAAACGTGCGCATGTGGAATCTGTGAAAAACAAGGGAGGGGGGGCGGGCAGGGGTGGGGATGTAATTTTTTTTTATTGAGTGATAACGAAACATATAAGTCTTCCGAAAGAAAACCAACAAAATAAAAAAAATGCAAGGCAAATATTTGCAGTATCCCGTAGAGTCCAGCCAACTCTCAAGCCCCAGGTCACTCCGACAGACATTGCACATCGATGGGTTTGCATTAGCACTGCCACAAATCCCACACTCGCAGTAAACGACTTCTGTCGACGCCGAATCCTGAAGTATCGCCCCCCCCCCAACTTTCAATGTCCACTGGCCGCCCTCATTAATTCTGCCCGAAGTGGAATTTTTCACCGTCGCCACCGCTGCAAGCAGAGTTCTCGAGTTATCAACAGAACGCACGAACGTCACCAGGTTTGCCGCTGGTGCTTGCTCCCGGACGGGATTACCGTCGGAGCATAACATTAAAAGTTTCGGCTTCAAGCTGGAGGCCTGTGGAATTATCGGGCGTGCGCTGAACAGGTCCACCTGCTGCACGCGTTAACTCGACATCACTGACGAATGAGCAAAATTCCAACCGACCCGGAGCGGGCGTGGTCCACGTTCTTGTTTTCTCGCAGGTTTTTATCGATCTTCTCCCATCACCGTTTAACGCGAGTAACGAGCGCTAACCGATTTAGCGAGCATTAACCGATTAGCGAGCTCTAACAGAGCCAGTCGATTGGTTGAAGCGAAGCGAGAGAAAGATTGAGTCGTGCTCAAACATTCATAATTTCACCGCACTTGCTATTTGTATCATTCGTTATCATCATCATCACTGTCATCTTCAGCTCCATACACTAGACTGTCGATTATCCGTGGGCAGATTATCCGGCTTGTGTATTAACCACGCTCGTGACAAAATCAGACGTTTCTTAACGCTCGCTCGCTTCAGTATCGAGGGCTAAGTGACTCGACGAGGATGTGAACGCAAACACGTTGGGAAGAAAACCTGAATAATTTGATAAACAATACACATCGATGTGTGTGTTTACGTCTTCACCCCCCCCCCCCCTCACACACACATTGCGTCGGTAAACATTGATTGCGTTTTAGCAGCAGCACGACTCACGCCCGTTTTGCTTATCCGTGGGTTTTCTTTGTTTCATCCGGGCCACTCGTCCCCATCTCGCCCCCCCCCCCCCCCCCCCCCCCCACTGCATTATGCCAGACACGTCGAGAGTTGCCTGCATTTCTATTGCACCTCTCGCGCCGATCACATGGCAACATCAGCCAACCAGGCAGCAGCAGCAGAGAATCCTGAGCATCAACAGCGAACCTGTCGAATATTTCAGATTACCACCAGACAGACAGACAAGCAAACAAAAACAACCCAACGATAAATTATTACAATTCCACAGAGGGGGGAGAGGACAAAATAAATCAAAACAACCAACATATATCTTTTAATATATAACAATAAGAAGAATAATGATACGAGCCTATTTTGGCAGGATAGTGCTTCATCGTTATCCGTGTGAGTTCTTAACCGTTTTTTTGTGTGCGTGCGCGCGCGCGTGTGTGTGTATGTGTGTGAGCGGTTTCGGCGAATGAGTGACAGAGTGGACGTCCACGATCAGAGTGTGCCCGGGTGGGTGGGTAGCGGTCATAGCACTCGGTAGCAAGCAAAGCAGAGGACCCCAACGCTGCCCCCCCCCCCCACCACGGTGGTGGTTTGCCCGCTGGCTGCTAGGAGGGGAGTACGTGTCTCCCTGTGCTGTGCTTGCACGGCGACACTTCTCTAGCAGGGAGGGGGGTCACGAAGAGAAATGCAGAAAATGGTCGAAAAACGGCAGCCAAACAAGGAGTGGGTGGCAGGGGTGTGGGTGGTTAGGGGGGGGGGGCACACACACTGATATGATCTTATTCTTATTCTACACTCTCTCTGTCTAATATACATTTTTTTTTTTACAAAGCTCATAAGAGGTGTGAAAATGTTATCTGTTAAAAATTTTGCCCGGCATTTACGTGGGCGTTAATAGAATAAAATACTATACAATGCGCCTTTTACTCCGTATTTTTTTTTGTTTATATATACTATATATATAGCAAAGGACATGATGATACACGAGGGCAATTTTCGGACAATCGTTGCCAAACATCATCACCGACGCGAGACATTTGCCGTGAGCAACTGCGGCAAACCCCTCCCCTTCCCCCCCCCCCCCCCCCCCCCCCCAAAAAAAATGTTTTAACTTGATACAGCGGTGGACAAGAGAGATGTGTGGGGATTCCTTCTGGACGTGAAGAACACCGCCTGGTATGGTTTGACGGTCGGCCAATATCGTCTCCATCGCATCACCTTGAACAGTCACGCGCGGCCTTCGGACGTTGCCACCACCAGTCAATATTTTCGGCCACGTTTTTGGGAAACTGGTTGATTCTTTTTTTTGTTTTTCCCCCCCCGCGACAAAATAACGGCTGTGTGGAAACCGTGGCCAGCGTCGATTTGCTAACGGGCGACAATTTCCGTAAAAATGTACCCTCGCGTTTGACACGGCCTCGCGCAGTTGGCGTCGCGATGCAAAAGATGCGCGTGTCGTGACACAGGGCGGATTCAACGAATGCCCTGTTTAAAAAAAAAAAAAACGCCACGGAGAACAATCGTCGTTAATCACCACCACCATCGTCATCATCTCCATCATCGCCACCGCTAGTAACGCGCACAATTGCACCGTGACGCACGAATGAGCAGCGCTTAAAGGTGGCCGTGGTGGTGGCGGTGGTGGCAGCATGTAGTGGTGGCAGCGGTAGTGGCTTAAGAGTCCCACGTTCACATTCCGTTAGCTGACCTTACAAAATGTGTCCTTCTCGTTTTAACATCTTGTCTTGTTGTTGCTCTTGTTCGTTCAGTCGTAACCCATCTGTGCAGGTCGCGAGTAACGGCACGGACTTCACACGCCACCTCTCGCTCCTTCACTCTTACGCATTTGTTTTTGGGTCATCTCTCTTCCGTCTCCCCTCGGGTCCAGTTCAAAAACAAAAGTTACGCGGACAGGTTGTGGGTACGGGAGGGCGGGGGGAGGGAGCTCCGGAGGCTGCGTGTGAGAATCGGGGACAATTCCTGGGTGGCGGCGACGGGTGCTACGTTTGTCAAGGTGGACGTGCAGCTTAGACCTCCTCCGAATTATGAATCCCCGGAACATCGTGCACTTCGAGACCAAAGTCCCAGAACAATGCAATAGGGTTAACAATACCTCTGCGCTGTTCCAACTTTCTCGTAAGAGGAACAATTCCCCGTCACAAAAAAGAAAACTGTTGCCCTCTCTCCACACCCCCCCCCACCCTCCGCATGCACCTGTTAGGCTCAAGGTTTGTACCAACCCAGAACTTGATTGTCTGTTTGCTCCAAGATGATCGGGTGGCTTGAGGATGACAATGCCGAGCCGGCACCGCTGAGGACCTCGGTTCGACTCCGGGTTTTTGCCGAGCATGATTAATCGAAAATCAGAATCTTCATTTAGCCTGGAGAAGTAATCCGATGAGCTATAAAGCTCTTTTTATTACAGATGTTCAGTATGGGCGGGTCACCAAGTTACAATATCAAATCAGGTTCTCAAGTGTGAGTGAGTTTCTGGTCTCAGCCCGGTCACCACGTGTAGACTCCCCGCACGAAAAATAGTCATTTAAAAAAATGTTTTTACTGAATTTGATTAAATTCCAACTTCTTGGAATTAAAACATTGGTGAAGATGAAAAGGTCACTTGAAGTGAGTTCTATGAACATCTCTGTTCAGCAATCCTCAGATAAGCAAAGTGAACACTGCTATGCAACGTTTCCGAACAGGGCTCTTGCGAATGATGTGACGTCAATAACACACGAAGCAAGACAATCCTATTCGAAACGGAATTGGCCAAAAATTCCGAAGCAGGACCCTCCTTAGAAAGCATCTCAAGACTCAGAGAGGCTTTTGGAAAATAAATCATGAAATTAAAGCGTTATAGTCGTGGGGTGAAGCGGTGAAACAGCGTTTGGCCACAGCACAAAGGACACAGCCAGCTGAGTTTGATACCGGGCCATGGTTAGCTATAGGGGGCAAGCAATATCTATTTGAACAGGTCCTCTATGGGTCTCCAATCGGCAGTGACTGGTTGTGATGAAGTACGGTTAAACAATCTCCATGACCGACACGGCTTTGGGAGACCTTTAGTTAAGTAGCAAATGAAATAAATGTTTAGCACGGTCGCGATTGCAAACGAGGTGCTCGCAATGGGAACCCAGGTTTTGCTTGACAGTAGAGCTGGGGTGGAGCAATATCAACCCCCGCCCCAATTTTTTTTTGAATAAAGCAACGGTTGAACGTGGCTGAATTTGTGCAATTGAATGCTTAAAATTCATGTATTTAAAACGATGAGATGCCGGTCATAAAAACTTTATGGAGTTTTTGCTAAAGAAAAAATATCGGAGCCTTTATTTATTTGACTTCTTAGGAAATTGGTTTTGGGGGTTCCACCCCCTCCCCCCCCCACCCCGGTGCTTATGTTAATTGAGCCTGTCTTTATTTTGAAAAGGTGTTACTCGTTCACGAACAAATTTACCATTTTGTTTTTGAATTGCTTGGATATGGTCTGATTAAAAGGAAATCTAATTTCCCAACTTTTATACCCTTCACTCGAATATTTGATTTTCCCTTTCACCGGCATTACGTGTGCGTGCGTTTCCATCCAACTTTGCAGTTTTTCCTGGTAATTGCATCCCACGATGCATTTCGCTCGCTGTCCACAGTAAATTCCCCTCTCTGTTCGTGCACAAGTAAAACATGTGATCACGCACCGTCTCGATCGGTCTACAATAAGTGTCCGAGCCTTATAACGTCTCGCGATGATTCGTTGCCTTTAAAAAAAAAGTCGGTTGAACATTTTGCATCATAGATTATATTATTGGTATAAGTCGCAACGTACCTTTAAAAAAATACATATTCAATAAGTGTGGTGAAGTGTGGTCAAAACAATGCCCATGGGGCAGCACCTGCGGCTGATGATTATCCAAGCCGCCCTTGCCTCTTCCTACGAGTCTGCCACTAAAGCTTAAGGCAAGGCCCAGTACGGTGGGGGGAACAAGACCACTACGGTGATCTGTGCCACGCCACTTCGGGCAAAAAAAGAACACTACCTGTTTATTCACTGCATGTACTGATGCACTGCATGGGAGGCGCGGTATGACAAATAATTGATTTCTGATGATGATGGTTTTGAGGCATCCTGCGGCCTGTCGCTAGGGCAAAAACCGCTCCGTGTTGAAAACAAAAACGGACTGAACGACTACGATAGAAGCCAAAAGAACCGGTGACAACCAGCAGCCTCTGTAAGGGCAAGTGCAGAGAATAAGACAATGAGATGGAGAGAGGCCTGTGTGCGTTTTTTTTTTCCTTTCATCTGCTCAGGAGGACGAGGATGGGTGGCCTTGCAGACAAGTCTTCACTGATTATATTTTGGAAAGCGGCCAGGCTATAAGCAAATCAACGACAGGGCTGTGGAGGTATTTATTGTGCACGCTTGTGACAATGCAACGTAAACGAAATTCACATTTAACATTGTAAAAAAACCAAAAAAAACTTTCAATATCACCGGTATACACATGCAACAGCTGGGCCAACGTTGGTTGACCCGGAACCAACGTTAGCTCGACGTCAACCAACGTTGGCCCGACGTTGGTTGACATGGGACCAACGTTAGCTCGACGTCAACCAACGTTGGCCCGACGTTGGTTGACACTGGACCAACGTTAGCTCGACGTCAACCAACGTTGGCCCAACGTTGGTTGACAATGGACCAACGTTAGCTCGACGTCAAGAACCAACGTTGGCCCAATGTTGCATGCCTATTTAGGGGATAAAGGGGCAACAGGGCAGGAGGGGCCAGAGGCCACGGAGGCCGCGTGGCCACCAAGTGGTGGGAGGAGGGAGCGAGAGACGCCGGGCCGTTATTGAAACAGCCCAGAGGGTGCCCGGCTTTTGCTTTTCAGATTGGGATGTGGAAATGTGGCATGGGGTTTTTCCCACCTCGAGTGGCCACGACAAAGCGGAGAGCATCCGTTTTTGACTCCGAGGGCTGCAGAGACGGTGAGACGGCGGGTGAGACGGTGTGACGGGCGGAGAAGGTGGAACGATAAGCGAGATGACGGTGCGACGGGCGAGACGGTGTGACGGGCGAGACGGTGTGACAGGCAAGACGTGATGACGGGCGAGACGGTGTGACGGCTGGTGAGACGGTGTGACAGGCAAGACGTGATGACGGGCAAGACGGTGTGACGGGCGAGACGGTGCGACGGCTGGTGAGACGGTGTGACGGGCAAGACGGTGTGACGGCTGGTGAGACGGTGTGACGGGCGAGACGGTGTGACGGCTGGTGAGACGGTGTGACGGGCAAGACGTGATGACGGGCAAGACGGTGTGACGGGCGAGACGGTGTGACGGCTGGTGAGACGGTGTGACAGGCAAGACGTGATGACGGGCGAGACGGTGTGACGGGCGAGACGGTGTGACGGCTGGTGAGACGGTGTGACGGGCAAGACGTGATGACGGGCGAGACGGTGTGACGGGCGAGACGGTGTGACGGCTGGTGAGACGGTGTGACAGGCAAGACGGTGTGACGGGCAAGACGGTGCGACGGCGGTTGAGACGGTGCGACGGGGCGAGACGGTGCGACGGGCGGGCATGCGGTACCAACTCCCGTACAAACAAAAAAATGAAATTTGGTCAAGCGGTGAAAGTGCGCGAGCGTTTTTTGTTAGTGTGTTTGTTTTCTTCCCGTCCCTCCTTCCTGCGTGCCGATGCGCTCCGCGATTTCCGCGTCAACGCCGCCACCGCGCGCTTAGATGGAGGTGCTCACCGTGGGCTCCGGCACCAGCTCAGAGAGCGCCGTCTGCGTCGTCACCGACAGCGACTGAAACGGCGCCGACTTGCTGGGAACCGTTTTGTAATCGCCTTGAAACTGCTGCTGCTGCTGCTGCTGTGGCAACTGATGCTGCTGCTGTGGCAACTGATGCTGCTGCTGTGGCAACTGTTGCTGTGACAACTGCTGCTGCTGCTGTGGCAACTGCTGCTGCTGTGGCAACTGCTGCTGCTGTGGCAACTGCTGCTGCTGCTGCTGTGGCAACTGTTGCTGTGACAACTGTTGCTGTGACAACTGCTGCTGTGGCAGCTGCTGCTGCTGCTGCTGTGGCAGCTGCTGCTGCTGCTGTGGCAACTGTTGCTGTGACAACTGCTGCGGTGGCAACTGCTGCTGCTGCTGCGGCAACTGCTGCTGTGGAAACTGTCGCTGTGGTAGCTGCTGCTGCTGCTGCTGCTTATGCTGTAGTAACTGCTGCTGCTTCTGAGGTGACGACTGCCCGACTGGTCTCATGCCCGTGCTGTCCGATGCCGGCTGTAGAAACAGCCGACTTTGCAACGGCTCTGGCAGAGGGCCCACCTGAGACCCGGAGAGACGGCATGCCTGCCCATCGTCCTCCTGCTGCTGCTGCAGTTGTTGTTGTTGATGCTGCTGCTGCTGCTGTTGATGGTGCTGTTGCTGTTGTTGATGCTGCTGCTGCTCATGGTGCTGTTGTTGATGCTGCTGCTGTTGATGTTGATGGTGCTGTTGCTGTTGTTGATGCTGCTGCTGCAATTGCTGCTGATGCTGCAGCAGCTGCTGTTGATGCTGCTGCTGTGGCTGCTGATGCTGCTGCTGTGGCTGCTGATGCTGCAGCAGCTGCTGTTGATGCCGCTGCTGTGGCTGTTGATGTTGCTGCTGCTGCTGCTGCAATTGCTGCTGCAGCAGCTGCTGTTGATGCTGCTGCTGCTGGAGCTGCAGTTGATGATGAGGATTCTGAAGCTGATGATGCATCTGCTGATGTTCTCTCTCGTGAAGCTCTTGCTGTTGCTGCTGCTGGTGCTGTTGCTGCTGCCGCCGCCGCTGCTGCTGCTGCTGCACTTTTGCTGCCTCGGGAGCGGCAGCGTCGGATCCCGTCGGCTCCGCGACGAGGGGCAGCGGCGTGGGCAGCTCGAAGGCCTCGCACAACCCCTCGCTCCGGGCGGCGTCCAGAGCCGGCAGCTCCACGGGCGTGAGGAAGATCCGCTTGTGCATCTCGTCGCGGTCGCCGCCGCCGCCGCCGCCGCCGCTCCCGCCGTCGCCGTCCCCCGGTCGCCCCTCGCCGTGCCGGCTCGCCGCACCGAGGCCCTTCATCTGCTGGTGCGCCTGCTCCATCTCCAGCTCTTTGTCGTCCTGGCGGAGGAATGCACCGGCAGCGACGCGCGCGTTTGGCACGGCGGAGGTCCTCGTTGCAAGGGGCCCGCGGGGCCCATGGCGGGCCCTTTAGTGCGGCCCCCAACAATGCACGAAAGTCGAGAACACCGCCCCGCCATCGTCGTCAACGTGCTGCTGTCAAACCCCCCAGTGGTTTCACACGTGCGGCGGCACAACTTTGCCTTTTATGTATATATAGATGGAGATGTTGTGTTTGTGACATTGCTCGTGTATATAGGTGTGTGTCAGCATAGGTGGTGGGAGGGGGGGGTTAATGTACCACGCTAGGAACCCGGCGACCCGAATTCGATTCCCGCTCACGGCCAACGCCAGTGACGATTATCTGAACCATTCCTGGGCCACCCCTAGGTTGACTCAGCCTGAAATGAGTACCTGGTGCGATGCGTAAACATCGCCGCTTGGGAGACAAAGGCGTTCGTGCGTGGTGCTGGCCACCTCCCCCCCCCCCACCACGCGTGCCGTGCCGGGTCTTCATAGGTGCTCGCCAACAGCACTTGCCCCGACAGTCTGTCAAGGCTATTCGGGGGAATCTTTGTCTTTTGTGCGTATACGCGTGTGTGTGCACGTGCGTGCGTGTACACACACACACGTGTTCACATACGACTCACGTTGGGCGGGCACAGGTTCCCGGAGCGCCGGTGCCAGCACGCCTCGCAGGCGCCCAGCAGGCACGCCAGCAGCAGGCCCGCGGCCAGCACGGCGAAGGCCCCGGCCAGGCTGCTCAGCTCCAGGCCCGGGGGCCGCTGCTGGGGAAGGCCCGGGCCGTAGGGGTCGCACTTCCCGCGCCGAGGCCACCACTTCTGGCGCAGCGCCTCCAGCTCGCCGCTCTCTTGCAGCTCCAGCAGCCTGGGGGGGGGGGGGGGGGGGGGGCAGAGGGGGAGGGCAGAGGGGGAGGGGGCGCACCATCGCTCGCGTCAGAACAGCCACGTGGCACAAGCACAATAATCATTGTTTACATTTGAAATGCACATTCGAGCAGAGCACGCGGTGGGATCGGTGGAATGGCCAGCACCGTGCCAAGCCATCAGCGCCGATGTTCACGCACGACGCCGATGTTCACGTTTGAGCCAGAGTTGACCCAGGGGGCAGTGGGCCCAGTCCCGGGACCGGGCTCATACATCGCTCGCCGCTGATGTCAGCCGTGGCCGGGGATGGAACTCGCGTCGCCGGGTCCGGAGCACGGCGGAGCGCCAGCCGCAGTGCCAACGCTGCCCTCAAGCACAAAGCGTTAAAGTTGCGCCCACGTGGTTGGTGATGGAAAGTGTCCGTCGGGGGCGCGGTTTTGACCTCAGTCCCAACCACGACCGAGCGGACGGGAAAGAAAAATCACCAAAGCGCGCCTGCCTACGGCGTGACGAGGTCGACGAGCGGAAATGAAGAGCACGCTCACCCCCGGGTGGCTGAGTAACGTGATGTCGAGGCTGCGGCGCACACAGCAAGACCGCCGCTGGTCAACGGTGCTGACAGCAACGACGGTGTCATCATCGGCCACGATCACGCTGAGGTGGCAGACCGGTGACCCTCCTACCCTAGAGGAGGCGTCTCTGCCAACCGGGCGTCTGCGTCTCAACAGATAAACCAGCACCGGCACAAAAAAAATGTCTCTTACTCCACATAGGCCTCTCTACCCCAGCATACCTCTAGAGCAGGGGTGGGGACTGTCCGGCCCGCGGGCCTTATGAGGCCCGCAAAATCGTTTGGTGTGGCCCTGCCAAGGCAACCGCAGGCGGGACTCGAAATTCAATAAATTTAGGTAGCAAACCTGGAAAAGCAGTCACGAGTAGCAACATCATCAATACCAGCTAACATCATCACACGCCTCACCAAAGAGAAGCAGTTCCAGCCATCGCATTAGGGGTGAGTTAAATAAACGTTTGACCAAATATAACAGGCTAATTCTTAAGCTGATAATTTTGTATGGCCCGCGAATGATGTTATAAATATCCAAATAGCCCTTGGCAGAAAAAAAGGTTCCCCACCCCTGCTCTAGAGTCTAGAGGAAGAGTAGACCAAGACCTTAGAGGTTGTCGTCGACGAGACTTAAACCTCTGTGCATCGTGTCAGTTCTCAACAACGCTGGTGATCACGGCCTTCGTTACATTTAGCTTTGACCCAGATTATTACTCACGGACTATATCCCAAATTAACACGGGCCCATACGTCCGCGCACAAACAAAGACAACCCCCCCCCCCCCCCCCCCCCCCCCATATAGCTATAACAGACTGTTGGGGTAAGTGCTGATAGTGAGCAACTTTGAAGGCCGGCACGGCACACGAGGGGGGGGGGAGGGTGGCCAGCACCACATCCGAGTGTCTTTGTCGACACACCGCACCAGGTACTCATTTGACGCTGAGTCGAACTAGGGGAAGCCCAGGACCGGCTCAGATAATTTGTTGGCCGTGAGCAGGAATGTAACTCGGGTCGCCGTAGCACAGCGCGCTAACCGTAGCACCCCAAGCTCGCCAGGCTACACGCGCGCGTATACCCACCGTGCCAATGTTCCCCACGTTAACGCAGATTAACAGAGCGCCTACAGCTTGCCCGTCCTCGCGGGACACTGCAGTCCGTGTGCATTACCGCTCCGCATTAGCATCGACGCATTAGCGCGCTGCCAAATCGATATTCGCCCAAATGATCACGCGTTTAAACACGCCGAGCCCCTGGCTGTCCGTTCCACGGCTCCGCGCGTCGTTTTGGGGCTCGTGCCGGCAGGCGTTGCTTGCCGCTTGCTTGTTCAGGAAACCCTCGCAGAGCCACGGGAGGCTCCGGCTGCCTCGGAATCGTTCGGGCCGATCGCGGCTCCCCGAGTAACGCCCGAGGGGCTCCGCCGCGCTCGACCGCCGCTCGGTTTCGCAGAGTCGGTAGCGCCGCGGCAATGTGTACATGCCACCTGCTGGCTCTGCCGCTCACCTGAGCGGAAAAATTACTTTTTTTGTTCTTTCTTTCGGGATGAATCAGCTCCCGACGGAGAGGCGAATGCCACATCCAACACTCTCATCTGACCGCCAACCCACCGCGCCATCGCCCGCGCGCGTGAAGCACTTCGTAATCTTCCGGAGTAAGTCCTAGCAGGGAGAATAATCAGGATGACATTTTGACATTGTCAAGAAGGGACATGGACTGAAACGTCGCCGACGTTAAATATGTATGCGTGGTCTTTCTCTGAAGGCCGTGTTGCAGACGGATGTGTGGGCAGAGTTTTCTCGTCGGCGATTGGGAAATTTTTTTTTTATGAATGCAAGAACCCTGGGGTTCAGCCGTCACCGAAAAAATACCGCGGTGGGTTTGGTGGTCGCGGCGCGGAGCACTCCGGCGCGCTTTAATATTTCACGAACCGAATATTAATTTCCTGAAAGAAAAAAACAAATCTCTCGCAGCACGTGGAATCGAAACGACGAACATCCCCCACCCCCCCCCCCCCCCCGGGCCGAGCGACGCCGTGGCGGAGAGCTGCCGAAACGGGTTTTAAACGTTTCTCAAGGCAACGGAGGCGGAACCGCGCGCGTGACTTGTGACCCCCGTGTCGTTTCGTTTTTTGGGGAAAATAACCCAGTGGGTGATTTTTAAGCCAACCGGTGGCCTGCTATCGAGAGGCTCCACCTCCGTTGAAAGGCTGAACCGGACGAGAGAAACGCGACGAATTGAAGTGATGATGGAAATCCAGGGACGGAACACTTTGGAGGGAAAGGCGAGATAGATGCAATATGCATGCTGGATGTTATTTATGAAACCGGAAAAATATGAACCTCTTCTCAGATATATATGCTGTCGGATATTTGTAGATTTTTACGATATTCATTTTTTATTGAATCGCTACGCTGTGAGCCTGCCGCTCGGAGGCGGCGCAATGGTCGGAGGGGATGAGCTGTCAAGAGACTGGTGTAAAATTACGGAGCGTGGAATTATGGTAAATCATTATGGTAATAATTATGGTAATACTATGAATAATGTCCTTTATTTTACCCAGGGTCACAATATTCTTTCAGGCGGGATGGGTGGGGGGGGGGGCGGTTGCTGCTGCAGCTGTTGCTGCTGTGGGATTTTTCCACCAATTTACACCGGAGGAACCCGGACAAAAATCCACGCGACCACGGCGGGGGGGGGGGGGGGTTGAGACACACCGCAAACTCCAAACATACAGCAGGCGTCAGGGTCGGTGTCGAACCCATGACCTCCTGTATACCAGGCGAGGTAGTTAACATCTCCTCGCTACCATGATGCTAATGATGAGAGAGAGACACGCAAACTCCAAAATACAGCAGGCGTCAGGGTCTGGATAGAACCCACGACCTCCTGCATACCAGGCGAGGTAGTTAACATCTGGCCACCACGTAAAGCCAAACAAGAAGGGGAATATTATATTCTTAGTTTTTTCGGTAAAGTCACGTTGAAGAGAAACAACAAAATAACAAAATATATGTTTCTCTTCAACGTGACTTTACCGAAAAAACTAAGAATATGAATTACTGCAGTCACGAAAGCTTTAAATCAAAAAGAAGGGGAATATTCAGAGTGACTGGTTCGGGAGCAGACCGAGGTGACTGTGAGAGCACCGAGTCGGTGCTAGCTAGCCTAGCTTGAGCCCTGCACCGCCAACTCCCCCCCCGTCTCCCGCGAGGGCTCCGTTTGAGATTCTCAGACGAATCGGAAAAAAAAGTGCCAAAGGCAAAATGTCAGATGGTCCGAATTTTTTTTTAAATACATTTTGCATTGATCTGATCTACTGAAGCCCCCTCCTCGTGGTGGCCGGCAGGAGACCTCGGCATTGGCATTTTGGCTCCTGCTCGCACTCTCCGCCACCGCGCGCAACAATGGCGGTAGAGAATTGGACGACTCGTAAACACCGGGGACGGCCGAGGTTGACGCCACCACGGCCGGTGGCGACGCGAGAGAGCCCTCCCCTGCCTTGGGCTCCACGAGGGACACGCAAAGAGGACCGAAGCAACGTCTGATGTGTACGAGGCTTGGATCAAAGCCAGATGACTCACGGCTAATGGAGTTTGCAAGTGGGATGGCCTTTGAGGTGAAGGATTGGTCTGGGTGGAGGCGGGGGGTGGATTATGTTTTAATGAATGGACCCGTCGTTTTTCACAGTTCCATTCAAACGCGTTTTAGCGGGGCCGCTTTTGAAACAGACGCGAGTTGTGTGGCACAGTGAGGCGAGAGTGGGTATGGGAGGCGGTCGTTGCGTGTGTGTGTGTAGTTGCAGTGTTGTGTGTGTGGTAGCAGTGTGGGGTGTGTGAACGTGAACGCGTATGTGAACGTGCGTATGTGAACGCGTGCGTGAACGCGTGCGTGTGAAAGCGTGTGTGTGCGTGAACGTGTGTAATTGCGTGTGTGTGTGTATGTGCGCGTGCGCGGATGTGAACGTGCGTGTTTGCGGCGTGTGTGTGTTCGTGTGTGTGCATTTCAACATGTGCGTGTCAAAGTGTGCGTGTGTGCGTGCGGTGTGTGTGCGGTGTGCGTGTCAACGTGTGCGTGTCAAAGTGTGCGTGTGTGGGAGAAGGCGTCCTTGCAGGGCCTGACATGTGAACGTGCGTGTGAACGTGTGTGCACGCGTGTGTACGCGTGCGTGTGTGTGTGTGGTGCGTCGTGGTGGTCGAGGCGCCCACCGCTGTGGGAAGGCGTCCTGGCAGGGCCTGACATGTGAACGTGTGCGTGTGAACGTGTGTACGCGTGTGTACGCGTGCGTGCGTGGTGTGCGTGTCAACGTGTGCGTGTCAAAGTGTGCGTGTGTGGGAGAAGGCGTCCTGGCAGGGCCTGCCATGTGAACGTGTGCGTGTGAACGTGTGTGCGCGCGTGTGTACGCGTGTGTGCGCGTGCGTGCGTGCGTGGTGTGCGTGTCGTGTGCGTGTCAAAGTGTGCGTGTGTGGGAGAAGGCGTCCTGGCAGGGCCTGACATGTGAACATGCGTGTGAACGTGCGTGCGTGTGTGTGTACGCGTGCGTGTGTGTGTGTGGTGCGTCGTGGTGGTCGAGGCGCCCACCGCTGTGAGAAGGCGTCCCGGTAGGGGCTGCCGTGCTGCAGGGCGATGCCGTAGCCCTTGTCGTAGCCGACGTTCCGCACGCTCAGCGAGCAGTCGCCGTCCGACAGCGCGGCGAACTCCAGCACCGCCGTGTCCCACACGAACGCGTAGTTCCCACGCTTCACCTGCACGCACGCGGTTACCACGCGGTTACCGTGGTTACAACGCGGTTACCCACGTGGTTACCGTGGTTAACCTGTGTGATCCCATGTGGCCCCGTGTCACCCTGTGTGACCCCACGTGTCACCCACGTGACCCTGCGTAACGCCATGTGTGACCCGAGCGTGACCCCGCATGACCCAGCGTAACCCCGCGTGTGACCCCGCGTGACCCAGCGCGCCCCCTCGTGGCACCCACGTGACCCCGGCGTGACCCCGGCGTGACCCCGCGCCGCAAGTGCGGTCGCTACCCGGTGGACGGCCTCGTCCAGGTCGTGCACGCAGTTGTCGGAGCCGTTGTTGCGGCTCACGGCCTCCCACAGCTTGGCGTAGGTGCCGTGCTCGGGCCCCACGGGATTGGCGGCGCGCGCTCGCAGCTGCTCGTAGAGGCTCGAGTGCAGCACCGTGCCGTACGACATCTCCGTCTGCCTCGCGAGCTCCTGCAGCGAACTGGGGGGCGCGGAGAGGGGGGGGGGTGCAGGTGAACACTCGGAAACACGAGGGGATCTCCGTCTGCCTCGCGAGCTCCTGCAGCGAACTGGGGGGCGCGGAGACGCACGGGGGGGGGGGTGCAGGTGAACACTCGGAAACACGAGGGGATCTCCGTCCGCCACGTGAGCTCCTGCAGGTGAACACTCGGAAACACGAGGGGATCTCCGTCTGTCGTGTGAGCTCCTGCAGGTGAACACTCGGAAACACGAGGGGATCTCCGTCAACCGTGTGAGCTCCTGCAGGTGAACACTCGGAAACACGAGGGGATCTCCGTCTGCCTCGCGTGAACTCCTGCAGCGAATTGGGGGCGCGTAGAAAAACGGGAAACACGAGGGGAAGCAGCTAAACACAGGAAAGTACTTGGGGTTGTATGCAGAGATGGGTGGTATCCAAGCAATCTCCATCTCTTGCGACCTCGACCCCTTTGCAGAGACTGTGGGGTCCTCCAGCTTCCAGCAGGCGTAGCCACAAGCCCTCCACCGTTTGCCATCATCAACATCGTGTTGCCGATGATTCCGCATCATTCTCCATGCCAGTGCCTCTTCCACTCCATTAAGATCTAAATTGCATTTAATCCGAATTTCAATACACCTGTCATTCGCAATTGGTCTCCAAATGACACTCTTCGAAGTAATTGGTGATTTGTATACGCAGTTACGCTTCCCCCAGTAATTTGTCATTGGAATACAAATTCGCCATTTGAAGAAATTTTGCCCACCTCGCGCGGTGTGAACACCGGGAAACCAGGAGCAGACGCACGGGGGAATTTGGATCGGCACTGAATGCTGGGCGGCACGACCGTGCGCCTAAACACGCACCAGGTGAGCGGCGGGAAGCGCAAGTGCGCACGCGGAGGCTGCCGGCTTCGCGGGGGAACACCGCGAGCGGGTGGACGGCGCAGCCTCGCCGGAGCGCCGGCCAGCGCACTCGTCAGAGCGGTGGCCGGAGTGCTGGGCAGAGCGCTGGGCAGAGCGCTGGCCGGAGTGCTGGCTGGAGAGAGCTGACCGGAGTGCTGGTTAGAGCGGTGGGCAAACGCGCTGGTGGACAACGCTGGCTAAAGAGCGTTGGCCGGAGCGCTATCTGGAGCGCTGGTTGAAGCGTTTGGTTGGAGCGCCCGGCTGGGGAGCGCACCTGATGGGGCTGGTGAGGCGCGACAGGGTGAGGTAGGCGGCCAGGCTGGCCGTGTAGGACGAGACGACGATGAGCGTGAAGAACCACCAGACGGCCACCATGACCCGCGCCGACACCGACATCAGCACCAGCTCCCCTCCTAGGCGCAGCCCGGGGAGGGGGGGGGGGGTTAGGCGGGCGGAGATAACGACATCGGTGACATTGGCAAAAGCTGCTCCGACTCTCCCCTTAAACAGAGTACAGATGGACACAAGACAAAGATCTCCCATTATAGCCTTAAAATACTTTTGGGGCAAGTGCTTTTGCTTGCGCTATGAACCTGGCGACCCGAGTTTGATTCCCGCTCATGACCAACTCCAGTGACGATTATCTCAACTTGTCCTGGGGCTCTCCTAGGTCGACCCGGACTAAAATGAGTACCTGGTGCGGTGTGTAAACATCGTCAAAAGGGAGACAAAGGCGGCCGGGCGTGGTGCTGGTCACCCACCCTCTCGTGCACCGTGCCGGCCTTCATAGGTGCTACTCGCTAACAGCGCTTGCCCCAACAGTCTGTTCAGGTTTTACTAGGGAGGGATCTTTGTCTTTGGCGTTAAAGCGTGGGTATTTCCACCTCTCCCAAAACATCGTCTGCCCAGCGTGGCAGAGCGGAGAAAATATCCTCAAGGGCGGTGGTTCCCCCAATCTGTGGTCCACAACCAGTCGCCATCCTCAAGGCAATTGGGAACTGAGGCACGGAACTGCTGCATACACTGAAAATGTAGCGAGGTTTTTATTTTTATTTTCTAAAGCTACGTTATTGGTGCACTGTGGTCCATGGATTTGTATTTTTTCAAGGTTGGAAGTGGTTTTGCTGGTTTGTAAAGGATCGGAAATCATTGCTCGAGTAGGGCTCTATAGAGCTTCCCCGAGGACAGCAGTGTCGAGAGCCGGCAATTGCATGGCTGCGCCTTTAACCCGTTCACGCGCGCAAATGTTAACGTTGCATGCACAGCGCACGCTGTGATTCAACCCAGTGCTCTGCAATTAATTTCAATAAATCCCGGCTAAGTCCCGAATCCGCTGGGACTTCCCGCTCCCCGCGTGCCGTCTTGCAGCGCCACGCCAACCACCGACGCAGCCTCAACGCGGCATCCACGGAAGCTCGGCAGCCCCGCCACTGACTCTTCAAGGGTCATCGATAGATATTGGGTAAAAATGAAAAGTGATTCGAGTAATGCACAATTTTTGGAAAGGTTACTCGGTTTCCCACTAATGAGCTTGCAGCCAAATGCCGGCAGATATAGCAGCGTAACCTTTCCTTGCGCAGGTCGGGGGTGTACACGTGCGTCACGGTGGCTAGGAGATGTTAACTACCTCGCCTGGTATGCAGGAGGTCGTGGGTTCCATCCCGACCGTGACGACTGTATATTTGTAGTTTTGCGTGTTTCTCTCTCACCGTGGTCGCGTGAATTTTTCTACGGGTCCTTCGGTTTTTTCCCACCACATTGAGAATCAACATCACGCGTTTGGAGTGTTTTGGCTGCTATACATTTCCACGTGATGATAAGCCACTGCGTCGAGCTATCATGTGTGGCCAGGTCGCTATCTGAAAAAGAGCTACTTGGCTCCGTGGGCATTACCTGGTAAAATGAAAATAGAAATGAGTGGCTGACGTGCGTGAGGAACGTTGGCACAGTGGTTAGCGCACTCTGCCACAAACACGGCCACCCGAGTTCAATTCCCACTAATGGCTAATAGCGGTGACGGATATTCGAACAGGTCCTGGGCCTCTCCAAGGTTGCCTTAAATGAGTACCTGGTGTGGTATGTAAACATCAGCATTGGGGAGATAAAGGCGGCCGGGCATGATGCTGGTCGAGCACTCCCCCTCGTGTGCCGTACCGTACCGGCCTTCGTAGATCCTCGCTAACGGCACTTGCGCCAACGGGCCTGTTAAAGGCTATATGGGGGATCTTTGGCTTTGTGTGTGCGCGTGCACGAGTATGTCCATGTGTGCGCGCGCGTCTATTTCATATAAATTATCACCTCCATTGTAAAATATACACATATATAAATAAATATATAACATGACTAATTCGGACGGCTCACTGCCGAGGTGTAAGGACAAATTTACGACGGGGAGTCCTAAAACATTTTTAAATCGACGTGATAAAAATATAAATAACTTTCAGGTATATAAAGGAGATCATAAAAAAAGATGGTCGGGGGGGGAGGGGGGTTGAAATCTGTGCACGCTGGGACATTATCACGAGCGATAACGCGAGCGTTAAAGTCGGACGGCACTCCGTCCTCTCGCCCTCTGTCAACTGTGCTCTTGCTTCCAGCAGCCCCCCCCCTGCCCCTCCCCCAGTCGAGGAGAGGGAACGTCGTTAATCTGATCTGTGTTAACCGAGCACACACGCGTGGGTAACTTCTGTGATTGACCGACCTACCGCGCCAATGACTGACGCGTATCCTAACGGGGTTCTGGAAGTGCTGGGGATTTAACGCTGGCATTTTCGAGTCCAGTCGATGCTTTATAAACGGGAAGGCGAAAAAAAAACAAGAAAAGTAATATTTAAAAAAAATCTTTTAAAAAAACACGATTTAATTAAATGTACCGTACTAGTAATGGAAGAACTCCACGACTCCAGGAAGTGGCCCCGAAGCTTGCCACAACGTAAGGGGCCGTGGGCAATTACAGCCAACGTCAGTTGACCGTGGACAATTAGAGCCAAGCCGAAACATAACATATAAGAAAGAATGTTTAAAAATACATGTTTTAAAAAAAAATTATGATAGAATATAGTATTGTCATCAGTATGACCTAAGTATACCAAGTTTGCAGTCGATACCACATTGGGAAGTGGGTTAAAATTGAGTGACAAGATTTGAGGATACAACAATGACAACAACAATAACAGACAGAGTCAGTTAAATGCAAGCATGTAATAACAACGAAAAAGCAACGCTTTCCCATTCGGGTTACGCCAACACAGCGGTGGCCAATTGCGGTACAGCGGACCGTGATCGCGCGGATGGCGGATCGCAAAAAAAAACGTCGCGCTGTGGACCTCCAGACAAATCAGAAGAAACACCTCCACGAGACGGCCTATGACAAAAAATTAAAATCCCCAACAAAGGACAATTCACACATTACGAACGCGATGGCACAAGTGCTCTGTGTCCATAGTATATCACCGGGGTGAACGCGGGTAAATTGGTGGTCGCGTAGTTTTCCGCTGGATCCCGTTACCCGTTGAGATTCATCGGAAGGTATCCTAGCCCTCGGTGGATTGTGTCTTTGACGGGTTTTGGGGGAACCCTATCGTTCATTTGTCCATTTGTCAAGAGGGAAAAGTGACCATCGGCAACACAGCCTAATTGTGAAGTTTGCCTCCTGTCGGACACGAAGGCAACCATCCAGCGTGCCTCCCCCCTCCACATTGCAGACGGACGGACAAAGCTCCCGTGATAAGGCTGCTCACCCCCGAGCTATAGATGCTCTGATACGTGCATTGTGTTTGTGGCGTTCACCTTTTGGCATTCTCTGTTCTGATACTTGTGAGACTAGGCCATGAAAAAGGCCTAGTCTCACCAGTGTCTCTGGTGGAGGACAATCACTTTTAAAAGACAATGCATATTTGCATGTTCACCACAAGTACCGTGAGTGGTTAATACACACTTGATTCCCTGCAAAAGGTTTCCATTTGGTATTTGAACATCCTAACACCTCCTGTTTTATTGCCAAAAAGGGTAAACCCTATTCTAATTTTTCATGCACAGACACCAAAACCCATCCACAACCAACCTTGCTGCATCAGCGCAGAGTAGAGGGCCCAGATTGTGGTCGGGATGCTGAGGGGCTTGTTTAGTCCACCACCGCCGCCACCGGCGCCACTACGACCAGCACCGCCGCTGCCACGCGGGCCTCGGGCCCTGCGCCGGCAGGAGGCCGAGCTGGCACGCCGCCGCCGCCGCACGGCGGATCCGGATCCGTCTCGGCCGCTGCCGCTGCCGCTCTCGCTCGCCCGCGCCTCCGCGTTGACGCCGCCGCCGCCGTCCTCGTCATCCTCCTCCTCTCCGGCGTCGTCCTCCTCCTCGTCCTCGTCCGCGTCGTCGTCCATGTCCTCCCCGGGCGGACGGGGGGCGGCGCCGCCGATTTTGGAACGACAGGGAGATACGGACGCCGGTGTTGAGATTCCAATTTCGCCAACCCGCCGGTGGGAAAAAAAACTCAACATTGGAGGCGAGTTCCGTTGTTTCGCGCAGGTGCCTCCCAATTGCGTTGCATTGTTGTTTTTTGACCCTTCATACGCCGTTGCCAAGCTCGCGTGCAGCAGCTGCCCCGACTGTATTGACATTTCGGGGTAGGCTCAACCCCAGGGACTCACGGTGAGATCCGTCAACCCTGACTGGAGTTTCGACAGCCATGCCCACTCAGCCGCTACCCCCTGCCTACTATCCAATAGCCATGCCCACTCAGCCGCTAGCCCCCTGCCTACTATCCAATAGCCGTGCCCACTTAGCAGCTAGCCCCCTGCCTACTATCCAATAGCCATGCCCACTCAGCCGCTAGCCCCATGCCTACTATCCAATAGCCATGCCCACTCGGCCGCTAGCCCCCTGCCTACTAGCCAATAGCCATGCCCACTCAGCCGCTAGCCCCCTGCCTACTATCCAATAGCCATGCCCACTTAGCCACTACCCCCCTGCCTACTATCCAATAGCCGTGCCCACTTAGCCACCACCCCCCTGCCTACTATCCAATAGCCGTGCCCACTTAGCCGCTATCCCCATGCCTACTATCCAATAGCCGTGCCCACTTAGCCACTACCCCCCTGCCTACTATCCAATAGCCGTGCCCACTTAGCCGCTATCCCCATGCCTACTATCCAATAGCCGTGCCCACTTAGCCACTACCCCCCTGCCTACTATCCAATAGCCGTGCCCACTCAGCCGCTATCCCCATGCCTACTATCCAATAGCCATGCCCACTCAGCCACTAGCCCCCTGCCTACTAGCCAATAGCTGTGCCCACTCAGCCGCTAGTCCCCGCCCTACCTCGTAGTCATCGTCGTCGGCCGTGCCTCCGCTGGCGCTGCCGCCGCCCTCGTCCTTGCCGTGCAGCTCGTTGAGGCGGTGCACGAGGACGCCCACGAGGCACACGGTGACCGAGAGGCAGGTCCAGACGGCGGGCTCCAGCGGCGAGAGGCACGACAGCAGGTGCCACGAGGGGTCGGGCCGGAGCAGCATCACGGCCACGCCGCGGTCCAGGAAGCGCACCGTGAAGTCGACGGCCGACTCGCGCTCCGGCGTGATGACCATCGCGCCCAGGCCGGCGTCCGCTTGCTGCGGATCGGGGGGGCAGGGGCGGGAACCGCGCGAAGTCAGCGACCGCACAAAGGGGCCACGCTTCAAAGGCGCGACCGGACCGAGCCGCGATTGTGCGAACTGGAGACGCATTCTCGCAAAAGCGCTGGTCGCGCGAACGGTAAACGATGATTCCAGGGTTTACTCCGCATCTCGAGACTCGTTTTCAGGAGGTGAGAGATGTAATTTTCCCACTCGGTTTTTTTTTTCCAAGAGAGGAGAACGAACCTTTTTCAGTAAACGAACAAACAAAAAATTGCAACTCGATGAAAAACGCCGCGGAAAAAAAAACTTAACTAAAAAGGAGCAATTACATCGGGGATTTTAAACTTTACTCCCGTCTCATTAAACTAGCCCACACAACGGCAGTGTGCCCCCAACTCAAAGCTCCATTTGAGTCTCGACCTTGACCCAAATTGGAGCGCTAATTGCCCTAATAGAATCAAAGTGTGCATTTGGTAGCAGGTGGATGGGGCCCACCGCTCATGAAAGGCAGCAACATGTAGCGACCCCGAGACTCCCTCCCTCCCAGCCCCGTGACGTGATGTCACGGCCACAAGTTAAAAACGCGTAGGGTTAGGGCTCTTAGCGGTTGCACGTTTTCGAGCGACAAAACCGCGCGCGCCCGTGGCTCCCAGCTGTGTGCAGCCCGCCACCCCTCCACCCACCCCTCCACCCACCACTCCACCCACCCCTCCACCCACCCTCCCTCCACCCACCTCCCCTCCCCTCCACCTCCTCCCCCTGCACACAATCCCACAATTCTATCCACCGTCAGATTTCGGAAGGGGTTAACAAATTAGCGTCTCGTTAGTGGTGCGGAACAGAGGCAGTCTTTCATTACCGGATCATTATCAGCCCCATTAGTAATGCTCGCTGCAAAACAGCTTCTCAACATAATTTAAAAACGCGGATGAATTAAACAACAAAACATTTATTCATTCCCAATGGGCCGTGGACTTAATGAAAATTCCGTAACAAAATGACGAAGGTTATATTTTTTTATATATATTTATAAATTTACGCTCTCCTGCTTAGTTACCCATTTATTTGTGAAGATGCTTTATCTGCCGGGCGTGGCGGGTGCCGGAGTGAGAAGGCCTCATTTTCATTTTAGCGTCCAGGAATCGCTCCCGCAGGCCGATTCCTCCATCCCCATCCCGACGAAAATTAACTACCTCCGAGGCACCGCGGCCGTCCTTATCGGCGGCGATAAACGACTGATCGAGCCCATTTGGTTGGTCTTATCAGGACGTACAGGGTGCACGTGAAGGTATCGTCCGTTATATTAATTGCAGGGCAGCTCCATAAAAAGGGATCCGTATATTAAGGGCTTCATTTCCACCGGGTCTGTCCGGGTCGGCGACGCAGAAGAAATGTCCTCGCCCGGCACAACACATCCGGTATACCCCTCGCTCTGGCTGCGGCTACTGCTGGTACCGTTAACTTTGCTCTACCAGCGACCGACGGAAAATATATATTTGCAGGAATCGGCATGCCACATCCGGCGTTCCTCTCGCTCTGGCTGTGCTCGCCAGATAATTATGGGTGAGAAATTAAGCCGCCCCCCTCCCCCCCCCCCGCGTGTGCATATAACTCAACAGTTACGTGAAGTCACCAGTGTGAACCGCGCGGTTGAATATGCTGGCGACGCCCCGCCCGTGAGCGTCTTCGGCGGCGCGTGCCAAAGGTTTGGGAGCTCGTAAAAGCTCGCAAAAACCGCGATTGGATTATGAGCTCCTGTGGGAAAAAAGATAACCTTCGCGCTGAATAAGATATACAGCTGATAAAAAAAATGTCAGGTTGTAAAACATTGACACTGAATCGTGTAATCTTTAGAAACAAATGCTAACGCGGTTCCTCGTAACATAAACGTCGAGGCACCACCGCGCGGAGGACCCTCGGATGTCTTGGCAGACGTCTAAACCGAACCACCTACTGGCAATCTGGACGCGAACGAGACGCGTCTTTGGAGTTGCGTGATGAGATGGCGACATCAGTGCCAGACGTCACAGTCACGAGCTGCTTGAACATTCCTTCAAGCTGCTCAGTGAGAGAGGCAAATTGCTCGTGCGCGGTCGCTAATGCCTTGAGAATTCTTTGAACGCGTTCAGAGAGATGTGCCTCCTTCCTCGCGGAGTAATGGCTGAGTGCACGCGCGTGCACGAGCACACGCACATAGAAGTGACAAAGATCCGCCCCGTTAAAGCCTCAACAGACTGTTGGGGCAAGGGCTGCTAGCGAGCAGCGCCTAAGACACGACACACGACCGGGTGGGTGGCCGGCCACATTTGTCTCCCCGGTGGCGATGTTTACACACCACACCAGGTACTCATTTGAGTCGACCAAGGGGAGACGCAGGACTGGTTCACATCATCGTCATCGGTGGGAATCTAACTAGGGTTGCTGGGTTCGTAGCGCAGCTCGCGTTAACCGCTGCACCGCCACTCCCTCCATGCTCACATACACGTGGACTCACTAGCCGAAAATGAGCATTTTGGTCTGAAAATTATCCAATTCGTTTTCCTCCTTCAATTTCAGTGCCCCCCCCACCTCGTCCCCCCCCCCCCTCTTCTCCACCTACCCCGCCTCCACCCAGCCCCGCCCCCAGCACCCCCACCCTCCCGATGCATGAATTATATTTGTGCTTTCATTTTGAGCTTAATTAAAATCAATCTATCAGTGTTTCGGCTAATTAATTCAAATCTTTCCCCATTTGCTTCCAAATTTCCGACTCAAATTACGGTCACTTCATTTGCTTGGCCAATTTTTCATTCAACAACCCCGCCCCCCCCCCCCCAACTCACGCCCCCCCCATTCCCCCTCCCCCCCGAGACCAACATTCTCCTCCACCAGTTTCCACAAGGCCAGGGGTGGTTCTGCCACCATCAGGGGTCGCTAAGCAGGAATATTACCGCCCACTCCCCCCCCTCCCATTTCATAGTCACCCACCCCCAAACCCCCCCCCCCTCACCCTTGCCGCGAGCATGCACACGTGACTTTATAGGTGCTCGCTAACAGCATTTCCCCCAATAACCTGTTGAAGGCTATACGGTGGGATCTTTGTCTGCACGTGTGCGAGCGTGCGCGTACGTGCGCGTGTGCGTGCGCGTGTGCGTGCGTGCATGTGCGTGCGTGCATGTGCGTGCGTGCCTTGTGTAGGATCTCCCCGAGCAGGCCGCTCCAGGAGCCGCCGGGCCCCGGGCGGCCGTAGCTGTTGTCGGGCGCCTGGTAGAGGTCGTAGGTGAATCCCAGGTGGCGCGACAGCTCCTCCAGCACGTCGACGGCGAAGCCCACAAAGCGCTTGGGCTGACCCAGGACGTTGTCCGCCTTCATCACGAACGGCGGGTCCTGCGGGCCGCGGGCAGTCGTGCTTGCTCCTTCTACTCGATCGTTCGATCGTTTCCATCGATCATTCGCTCATTAATTTGCTCGCAAAAAGTAATCAAAATTTGCCATTTTTTTGTTAAATGGACCTGCCAATTATTCAGTTGGATTTACACACAGCAGCATCGCCCATCCCCCTAATGTGACGCTACCGCAGGCCGTGTCGGTGAAACACAGCGGCGGATTCCGTCGTGATAGCCCTACGAACACCAAACGTACGAACTCACAATCATTATTATCAGCAGGGGGTCTCGGAAGCAGTTCTGCGACATCACCTTCAGCGGACCGTTCTCGAACACAAAGGCTCATGTCATTTCACCACCTCCGGACGAGGTGGTGAAATGACAATGACGTCAGTGTCATAACCGGAATAACATTTGGATGTATTTTCTTTGTTATTATCATGATTATTATTATTTAACACGTACGCTTTGGCGACCAATATCATAGATCGCGTAAATATATAACTATTAACGCCACAAACCTTACTAATTGGCCGTTTCGGGTGGTGGCGGGTTTCACGACACGTATGTTTACGCAATCTAACCCAAACAAACCTGTATTATGGATTATTGTTGCTATTCGGAGAAAAAGGAAAGGCTGTCGAGCTACAGATTGTAACTCTCACAAAGTGGCCGCTCCCTGAGCCTCGGAGTTCACCGAAGGTTCAGCCACTTGGGCAAATTGACGCCGAGTTGCAAGCAAGGCATGCGGACTGAAACTGCCCCGAGGCCTAAGTTATTGAGCGAAAGGTCAGGTCTGCCTGGGAGAGCGTTGCCTGGTCCTTCTCCCACTTTCGCTTGGAACCAGGAGCGCAATGACCTATGTCATGGGGGGGGTGGGGGGGGAGGATATGCAAGATACAACTGTGGGGCTCCCCTCCTTCCTTCCCGACTCACTTTCACTGAAATAGCTACGGATGTTTTTTTATAACTATATGCAGGGTGCTTAAAAAATATATATATTAACACGTCTGAGAATTTGCAACAATAGCACAAGAAGTGTGCTGCCTCCGGGCTGTGGAGACCACCTGGAGAAGGTTCCAGGCACGCGTTGACAACGATGGAGAATACGTGGAGACTCTTGACTTTTTGAAGCTATTAACATTGCATTTGTTATCACGTTACAGTGTATTATCCGTTATTTTTTTTCCATTAAAAACGAAAGTCTCATATAAGTGTTAACTATATTTTTTAAAACACCTTGTATATATTATTTTATATTCTTAGCTCCTTTCGGTAAAGTCACGTTGAAGGGAAACAATAAAATAATAATATATCTTTTATCATGAATTACTGCAGTCACGAAAGCTTTAAATCAAAATTCATATTATTTTAGTTACACCGTGTATTGGGTTTAGAGAAGTGGTTCTTGACTTGTGGTGCACGTCACCCCCTGGGGGTGCGAGACACGGCCAGATTTCTTTGCAAGAAAGTAAATCATCGGAATACAAATGAAGCGCAGGCACCTAAGTTGCAACTACTTTGTTTCATCAAACCTATGTATCTACTGACATTCTATTTTTTTATGATTGAGGACCAAAGGGGTGCAAGGCTGCAGTAAACGTTAAGGACCACTGCTTTAGAGGAAGGTGACTGTATTCATAAAGAGATTTAAAGGTTACAATAGTCACAATTAAGTTATCGTGCATCTTGCTTTCATGCTGGGACCCATCGGTCTCGGATTTCCCCAAAGGGTGTGGGATCGTGCTACTTTATGCCGCTTTAATCGGGCTTGACCCATGGTAGACCGCAGAATTTTTTTTTAATGAGTTCAATGCGTAGGCTTTCGCGACCAATTATTGTCCGTTGTTGTGGGTTTGCTCGCCAACTAGCTACGTGACGAACCATACTATTTGGCTGTGCCGGGTGGTGGCGGGTTTCACGACACATTTATATTTACGTGATCTAACCCCACAATATTTAAATGAATAAAAACATTTTGAATATTTTTTTTTCGTTTACTTGTTTATATCTGACAATTCTGGGCCCTATCCGCCCTCCCCCCTTGTGGCCGACTGAGCCCCTTTGCATCGCACGACAATGGCAGTGCTGACGAGTAACCACATCATGACGGTGCTGGCTACTGGTGGCGGTGTTTTATCTGTAGGGGAGCTGTGGCGCAGTGGTTAGCATGCTACCTGGAGCGCACGCGCGGACGGCCAGGTCACCGCCTCGGCCTTTTGCCGTGGCTGGCGTCTCGGTCGATTAATTGACTCTCTCCATTGGATTCGTGTTCGTCTGCATATTCGCTCGTTGGGTTAGAGTTACGATTGCTATTAAATAGTTTGCTGTTACAAATGGACATTTAACCACTCCGTAATCTAAGGTGTTAATAATGTTTTTGTATAACTATCAGCCATGCTCAATTCACTGCTGTATGAATGTCTCCACAAGCCAGCGGTAATATCTCAACACAATATGAACATTTATATATTAATAAGTCGGTTTTATAACATCCTCAGATGGTTGGGTTGTACGCAAGAGAGGCCGTGTCGATCACACAATGTATGTCTAGTCCATCTCATGCACATTGCAATAAAATATCCCGCTTTTTATTATTATTATTTATCCAGTGTGAATGCTAATGGTTTACACAGTAAATAAACGTAATTTTACGTGCACATATTGTATTGTTTTCCAGAGGGATTGATTCATTATAATATTTATTAGGGTATAAAAAGCAGGTTGGCGACATCCAATACACCAAAGACAAAGACCTCCCTGAATAGCCTTAATAGACTGTTAGGGAAAGTGTTGTTAGCGAGCACCTGTGAAGGCCAACACAACACACGAGGTGGTGTTTGGCCAGCACCTCGCCCGGCCGTCTTCGTCTCCCTAATGTCGATGTTGACACACCGCACTAGGTACTCATTTGACACTGAGTCGACCTAGGGGAGGCTCAGGACTGGTTCTGAGCCTCCAGATAAACCACCACCACCACCACCATGACGATGTTGTTTCTCATCAGCACTGCCGTCGTCACCGTCATCAGCCCGAGCTGAAACGAAACGAAACCCTTGCACTCTACGGAAGGCCACTGTGTTCCTCCAATGGGACTCGTCCGCAAACGCGGCCGCGGCGGCCACAATCGACGGGACGGCATCGCCATCGACTCTCACCCGAGCACTTCGCACGGGGCTCGGGGGGGGGGGGAAACCTCGATCCTACCGATGGCACCGCCGCCCGGAGTCCGTCCCGCGTCGCCCGCGCACGCCGCGACGTTCAAACGTCCGGCTCCCCGCGGCGCGTCTGGCCCACTCGCCGCCCGACGAAGACGGCCCTTCGTCAGCTCCAGCAGCGTTTCATTCTTCTTCTTCTTCTTCTCCCGAAGCGGAGTTTCGCGTCAGTTAAACGTGGGATGTCAGGGTCAGGGGAGGGGGGGGAGCGCCCACGCGTTGCCAACGTTGGCCCCCCCGATGTCTCCGTGGTTTTTACCGGGTCGCCGGTAGGAGCGTGACTCTTCAACCGCGTCAACAACGTCGTGGTAATCATTAATCAATCGTTGAATGCGGATCGCGACGCTCAATCGCTGCGAGGAACACTCGAGGTGAGGGGTGGGAGGGTGGGAGGAGGTGAGGGCAGGAGGTGGGGGGCCACTGCTGGTGGCCTCTGGCTGCTCCTCCTGTGGGGGGCTCCCCCCCCCCCTGGGGTTGGGGGGAGAGTCTCCCAAGTCCCCCGAGGCAGTCACGTGATTGAAGAGGAGCTCTGCATACTGGTTTTTTTACTTTTGATGCCGTCTGACTGCATTCACTATATACAATGCATGGAAAAACATACACCCCGAATCGTGATAATCACATTGCCATTGAGGTGACAATTGTTCCACTCATGCCATTTAACTTGTCAATTGTTGCCCACGTGACAATTTGATTTGATTGTCCCTGTCAGATGGTGGAGGGTTATCGTGAAACATTGACATCATACCTACACGACAACCTAACAAAAAAAAAACGTATTACAAATTATAATAACGGTCGTGAACGCCTAGACATGGAGTCGAAGGACTGATGTTGATGAAAAAAGTAACACCACTTGAAAAACCGCCGAACGCACGAATATTTTAGACTATTGTGAATCCTGCTTTCGATATATACGAATGCCTTTGACCCAGTGAACGAGCGCCCTGACATTCCGCCAGACCTCCTGGACAGCGACAACAACCACACGGTCACCCACCCGACTGTCCGAGCACTCATTTGTCCCGCCCCCCCCCTCCAGCCCCCCCTCTAACCCCACCACTCCAGGGTGGTTCCGAGCCTCACCAGCACGACAGCCACCTTCAGCGTGACCCCGCGGATGTTGCGTCCTGGCATGCTGTCACTCAGCGAGCCGTTGAGTCCATTCACGGGATCCCAGACGCCGAGCTAGGGGCGGCGGAGGAATGGAGCGGGTTACGCGCCTTGCACGGTTGGGCAAAGCGCGGTGCGAGACAACTTCAACGTACGCGCGTACGGACAAGCGTGCGCACAATCGCACGTGTGCACATATGCGAGCGTGACCGCGTGCACGCGCGCATACCTACACCAGAAACACCATGATAAATCTCATCATTATCATCATCGTCTATCCCCAAACGACTGAACACCTCTTTTTACTTATCCGGACATTGCTGGATGAAGGCCCCCCCCCCCCCCCCCCCGCCAATCCTCGCTACCCGCCCCCCCCCCGCCAGCTCTTCCTCGCTGGTCATCAATCTCAGGTGGCCCCCCTTTCCTTCTGGCTGCCTTTCCGTCACCAGTCTCGCCTATTGCCCATCATCCCTCCTAGCGCTCTGTCCACCCCAATGGCTATAGGAGAGGATGGCATGGCTCAAGAGAGAGAGAGAAAGAGAAAGCGTTGATTCTTAACACGGTTCAACTGCCGGCCATGGATAACTCACATCAGTGGTCAGTGTTGTTCGAATCATGAGAGCCACCCAGAGAGTGTGGAATTGTGCAAACAACGGTACTTGGTCAAGACACACGTGGTTGGGTTATGGTGTGGCGTTTCAACATCATTACTGGGGAGACGAAGGCGGCCGGGCATGATGTTGTGTTTCAACATCAGCACTGGTGAGTGGAGAGGTTATGGTGGTGGCCACACCAACCTCTCGCGCGCCGCCACGGCGAACTTAACGGGGGCTCGCCGACGCCAAAACCCGCGCCGACAGTTTAAGCGAGAGGCGAAACCAGCGCTGAACTTTTTCTTCGTCTTTCTCTGTGCACAGCTACCCCATGCGGTCAGAACCGCTGTGTCTGTCCGTCCACATTCCCATGTAGAGAAACCCACTGAGCCTTAGGCTCATTCACTCAGTGGGTCCCATCTGGATGTCGAGCAAATTCAGCACCACTAGGCGCGGACAGCAGCGGGGGGCTCGGGATTGAGATCATGGGCACGTGTGTGTGTGTGTGAGTGCGCGTGTGTGTTTGCGTTTGCGTGAATTTTGTGGTGAGCGGTTGTGGAGTGGGTAGCGCGCTGCGCTACTACCCCGGCGACGCGAGTTCGATTGCCGCTCACGGCCAACGCCGGTGACGATCACCCGAGCCGGTCCTGGGCCTCCCCTGGGTCGACTCAGCCTCAAATGAGGACCTGGTGCCGTGTGTAACCAACGTCATTCGGTAGACAAAGGTGGCCGGGCGTGGTGTTGGCCACCCACCCCCTCGCGCGCCGTGTCGCCCGCCTGAATAGGCCGCTCGCTAACAGCACTTGCCCCGAACGGTATGTCAAGGCTATACGGGGGACCTTTGTCTTTGTTGGTGGATGCTCACGTTCTCCCACCTTCCGCACGGTTTTCTCCTGGCCGCCGTCGGCGTAGCTCGTGCCCAGGACCTCGAACTGCAGGTTGGGGTTCACGCCGAGCTCATTAAACTGGAGCTCTCCCGTCAGCCCCCACACGCGCCCCTGCCAAACCCCCGCGGACACAAAGACATAGATCCCCCGTGTAGCCTTAACAGACTGTCGGAGATAAGTGCTGTTAGCGAGCACATACGCAGGGACACAAAGACAAAGATCCCCCATTTAGCCTTAACAGACTGTAGGGGCAAGTGCTGTTAGCGAGCACCTATGAAGGCCGGCACGGCACACGAGGGGGTGGGTGGCCAACACTACGCCCGGCCGCCTTTGTCTCCCTAGTGACGATGTTTACACATCGCACCAGATACTCATTTGAGGGTGAGTCGACCTAGGGGAGGCCCGGGACCGGTTCAGATAATCGTCACTGGTGTTGGCCGTGAGCGGGAATCGAACCCGGCTCGCCAGGTTCGTAGCGCAGCGCGCTAACCGCTACACACACACACACACACGTACGGTAACTACACACGCTGATTAATGAAGACACGTGCAGATGCACGAAGATGCACGCAGATGTAGACAGGCACAGGACCTACGTACACACACACAAACAACAGCAGCAGCAAAAGCCACAAGCAGCCACAGCAACTAACAAAGGGTCTTTACACAGATGCACGATGTCCTTTGGAGAAAAAAGGGGTAGCCCTGCAATTGCTTTGTCACGCCACTGCTGGCAGAAGGTGCCTCCCGTTCACATAGCCAGACCTCGAGAGAGCCTCCTAAAGGGGACATTTTGGCCTACTCTTCCACAGCTGACCAAATGTCTTGGAAGAGGTGGGAGTAGCCACAATTCACCCGGCCACATTTGACCTGCCGATCGACTAACTGTGGTGAATCCTTTTATAGAGCTGGGTGGACAGAGGTAGGGGGATTATGTGTGTGTGTGCCATCACCTTGTATACTGATACCTGATACCTGTATTAACGTGTGTGCCATCACGAAGGTGGCCGGGCGTGGTGCTGGTCACCCATCCCTTCGTATGCCGTGCCAGACTTCATGGGTGCTCGCGAAGAGCTATATGGGGGATCTTTGTCATTGTCTGGCCATTATCTTGCACGCATCCGCAGCCCCATCGCGGTTGGTGCGCCACCGCGGTTGACGTGCCACCGAAGTCAGTGTGCCACCGAAGTCAGTGTGCCACCGAAGTCAGCGTGCCACCGAAGTCAGTGTGCCACCGAAGTCAGCGTGCCACCCAAGTCAGTGTGCCACCGAAGTCAGCGCGCTACCGAAGTCAGTGTGCCACCGAAGTCAGCGCGCTACCGAAGTCAGCGTGCCACCGAAGTCAGCGCGCTACCGAAGTCAGCGTGCCACCGAAGTCAGCGTGCCACCGAAGTCAGCGTGCCACCGAAGTCAGCGCGCTACCGAAGTCCGCGTGCCACCGAAGTCAGCGCGCTACCGAAGTCAGCGTGCCACCGAAGTCAGCGCGCTACCGAAGTCAGTGTGCCACCGAAGTCAGCGCGCTACCGAAGTCAGCGTGCCACCGAAGTCAGCGCGATACCGAAGTCAGTGTGCCACCGAAGTCAGCGCGCTACCGAAGTCAGCGTGCCACCGAAGTCAGCGCGCTACTGAAGACAGTGTGCCACCGAAGTCAGCGCGCTACCGAAGTCAGCGTGCCACCGCGGTCGGCGTGCCACCGAAGTCAGTGTGCCACCGCGGTCGGCGTGCCACCGAAGTCAGTGTGCCACCGAAGTCATCACGCCACCGCGAGCGCCCTACCTGGCGGATGACGTCCAGCATGGAGTGGCCGCCGTTCCAGGGCTTGGTCCAGCGCTTGAGGCAGCTCAGGCTCGCCATGCTGTGCCACTTGCGGTCCTCCAGCTTCTGGTGGAAGGCGGTGGTGAGCAGCACCACGCTGTCGTAGATGTACAGGCTGCTCACCTGCACAACAAAGGCGAAGATCTCCCGTATAGTCTCAACAAACTGCTGGGGCAAGTGCTGTTCGCGAGCACAGGTGAAGGCCGGAATGGCACACGAGGGGGTGGGTGGCCAGCAGCACGCCTGGCCGCCTTTGTCTCCCCAGTGGCGATGTTTACACACCATACCAGGCACTCGTTTTAAGGACGAGTCGACATACGGGAGGTCCAGGACCCGGTTCAGATATTCGTCACTGAATATTGGCCGTAAAGCGGTAATACGACTCGGGTCGCCTGGTTCGCAAAGCAGCTAACGGCACTTGCCCCCAAAAGTCTGTTCAGGCTATAAGGGGGATCTTTGACTTGTGTCCATTTGTAGTCTGTGTCACCGGGTTCGTAGCGCAGCTCTCAAACCACTGTGTCAGCGCTCCCCTCCCACACACACACACGCGCACACACAGACACGCACGACTCCACTGAGCAAATGTGCAATCGGCAGCAGCCACCGGTGAGCGCGGCGCGCGGGCATCACCTGGAAGCGGCCGCGCGTGTAAATCTCTCGCGGACCAGGCAAGCGCACGAGTCACAAACGACGCGCGTAAAAATGCGGCACGACGGATGGCGGTGACACTCGACGCACGCGGCGCTCGCTCGCACAGAGCCCCGAGGTGCGGCGGGCCGGGGGGGGGGCGTCGGGGATTGATATCCTGCGGATGAAGAGGCAGTTTACGAGACGTACGGGCCACGTGCAATTGTAAATTATTCGGTGTCGGTGCCAGGTCCGGTTTTACGGGCACACGGACGGTGGCTGTTCGAAGCCTCCAGACGTTCGCCGCCGTCACGGCAGCCTTCCTCTCGTTTCCGCTCTTGCACGACCGACCGACCGACCGACGCTCAAAACGGAGGCGGCTTTGGAAGCTGGCTTGGTGGTGGCGGAGGGCCGAGAGCACGGAGCCCCTGCGCTTTTGAAAACCCGGGTTCGAATCCGGGGTTTCGGCCACCCGTGGTATAACCCTCGGTTCATATTCTTAGCTCTTTCGGTAAAGTCACGTTGAAGGGAAACAATAAAATAATAAAATATATATAAAACAATAATTCTCATAGGTGCTTGCTAACAGCACTTGCCCAAACATTATGTTCAAAGGCTATACGGGGGAGCTTTGTCTTTGTTGGTGTGTAGGAGAGTAAATTCGCCGTGCGTGCCTGCTAACGCTAACACGTGCGCGCTAACTGCAATCAAATATGAATTGCGCTCTACCCAGCAATATCGTACACCCACACGTGTGTATACATATATATATATTTCTGTAACATATCTACCAACCACAAGACAATCGAATAAATAATTGAAATAAAAGCCTCCGGAATTGTGCAGCGACGTTTAAATTATATCATCACTGTAACCAAAAAAAAAAGTGTCAAGTCGCGCGCGCCCTGGAACAATAAAGGGTGATGTGCTGCCACCGTGATGTGCCGCGATAGGACATCGCCTTTTACAGACCCTCGCGGTGCAACCCACGGGGGTGAAAAAAAAGGGTAATGGATTTTTTTTTCTCTCTCTCTCTCTCTCTTCTTTCGTTTTATCACTGATCTGCCTGAATTATGTAAACAGTGGAGTTTAATTTATCGCCGAGGGCACAATTAATCGTTGTGAAATATTAAATTGTTCAGGAGTGACTTTGCAATCACTTACTTAATCAGCCAAACCTTGACACACGCGTTCCCAAGCGTGTGGAGGGGGGGAGGGGGGGGGCGCCTCCTCCTCCTCCTCCACCTCCCCCCTCTCCGCCTCACGCGAAGCCTCGGCAATTATCCCCCTCCGTGTGTTCCCGCTGAGGCTCTTGCCGCCACCAGCGCCGTCTACGAACCTCGGTTGAACAACCAAGCGATCCATATTCTTGGTTCTTTCGTTAAAGTCACGTAGAAGGGAAACAATAAAATAATAAAAATATAAAACAATAAAATTATCACGACGTTTCGACTGCAACACAAGCAATCGTCATAAGGTGTGAAAACCACAGCAAGAAAATTTGAAGAAGAAAAAAAACGCCACTTTTTTCAAATTTTCTTGCTGTGGTTTTCACACCTGATGACGATTGCTTGTGTTGCAGTCGAAACGTCGTCATAATTTTATTGTTTTATATTTTTATTATTTTATTGTTTCCCTTCTACGTGACTTTACTGAAAGAACCAAGCCTATGAATCCCTGCGGTCACGAAAACTTTAAATCAAAACCAAGCGATCGTCGCCTTCATTCGTGTGGCGTGCGGGGGGAGGGGGGGGGAAATGGAGGGGGAGGTGCGCGAGGGGGTGGAGGCAGCCGGTCAGCGACGTTCCTCTCTTAGTGCCGAGGTTGGAGAGGGGGCCAGCGGACGGGCCGCAGAAGCGGCCACGTGATGAATATCTCAAACGAGCAGGGGCGTTGTTGCGCGGTCCGACGTTGGAATATTTTTTTTTTATTGTTGTATGCGTTGAGACTGTCATCCTCTCCTAGCCGCACCTCCGATTAGCGCTGCTGGCTACGTATGGCGTCAAAGAATTTCAACATACAGTACGTACGTGTGTGTTGAACGTCTTCAGCACCGTAGCGTAGCCAGCTTGCGCTAATTGGAAGTTTGAGATTGGGTGACCGCATTCTGTTTTTTTTCTTTTTCAAATGTCCACTGGTTTGGGGAGAGGTCCGGGTTTTGTTATTATATTATTATTGGTGATGTCGATGGGGCAAGTTCACACTGGCAGGTTCTTCTGTGGGCTCGAGATGTTAACTAGCTCGCCTGATATGCAGTAGGTTGTGGGTTCAATCGCAACCCTGATTCCTGTATATTTGGAGTTTGCATGTCTCTCTCCACGTGGTCGTGTGAATTTTTCTCCGGGTCCTCCAGTTTTTACCACCACATTTAGAATCATCACGCGTTCAGAGTATGTGGCTGCTATGAATTTCCACGCGATAAGCCACTTCGTTGGACTGTCATTTTGAGGCCAGGTTGCTTCTGAAATAAAGCTACGTGGCTCACCTTACCTGGTCAATGTTTTTAAAAAAAAAATGGTGCTTAGTAAGCGTTCGTTAGAGGACAAGGACACACATAGAGCCACCTGCAGGGTTGCATGAGAGGCCACCACGGGAGCTCCCGCCAGCTCGATCCCACTGCAGGTTGCGGGATGTTATCCGGACTCCGGAACGGTGACCGACCATCTCTTGAAATGCGACTCGGGCCCCGGGGTCAGTAGGTCGGGCCGCGAGGTCCCACCCCCATCGCGGCATGAGCGTGCACAGATCTGCGATGTGAACCGGAGCTTTCGGTAGAGGCAAGGGTTGGTGGCTCGCACAGCGTTCTCTGATATGGCAAAGGATAGCCCAGGAGATGGTGGTAACAGCAAGTGGGTTCTCTTACGTATTCTTTGTTCGTTCTCGCTTTGACGTTCCCCTATATCCCCCACACCCCCTCAGCCCCCATGCCCCCTCTCCCACCACTCCCACGCACCACGTCAAATTCACGCACTGCGCTCCAAGCCAGATTATATGAGTTCGACCCCAGCACTAAAAACTTAAAGTAATCTATTTCATTTTGCCAGGTAAAGCACACTAAGCTATTGTCTCTTTTTAGAGGCAACCTGGCCACACATGGCAGCTCACCTAAGTGGTTTCATCATTACGTGTGGGTTTTGACACGGAGTAGCAGCCAAATAATCTAAGCGCGCGTTTTTTCTAAATGCGGAGGGCAGTACCGTAGGAACCCAGAGAACAATCCACGCGACCACCACGTGGTTGATCGACGTGCCGTGTACCGGGCGAAGGAGGCGACATTTCCTTGCCACCACACCGCCCCACAGCCAACATCGTCCACGGACATCGGTTCCCGCTCACAGCTACCACCAGTGACGATTACTTGAACCCGTACTGGGCCTCGCCGAGGTCAACATTGCCTTAAGGAAGCACCTGGTGTGGTGCGCAACCATCAGAACTGGGGGAGATAAAAGGCGGCCGGGCGCGGCGCATGCCACACCATCCTTCAAGCCCAGCGCTGTCTTGCAAAGGTCGCTCGCTAAGATAGCTCGTCCCAACAGCCTGTGTACACTACGTGGAGGATCTTTGTCTGTGTGTGTGTGTGCACGCATGTTGGCACATTTATATAACGTATCACCTCCATTTTATTTCCGCTGGAAAGCCCGGGGAGGGAGAAGTTGGGGGGGGGGGGGGGGGGTTGGGGGGGAAATCGCTCTGGCTGCTCGCAATTGCCCCGGCTATCCAATTGGGATTCCCTGGGTAAACACCCACTGTCTGTGATGTCAGTATTTACAGCCGGGTTTGCAGCCAAGCCCCCCGTACTCCTCCAGCAATCCCCCCCCCCCCACCGTCACCGCCCCCCCACTGCCCCCCCTCCCGCCCCATCACGGCTCCGCACCGACATGAACTACATTGAGCAGACACCAATGCCATCCTGATTTAGCGTCCCCCCCGGCCCGTATCGATTCCGGATTACTGGCCGGCGTCCAAGGTCATTGCCGGCAGCGGCCTCGTGCGGCGGCCGGAACGTAACGGGCGGCTTCAACGGCGCGATCAGCGGGCGTCCGCCATCGTGTTTGCGACGATGTTTTTCCTCCGGGACCTCTGGGTTTTTCCCCTCCGCATTCAGAAAGAATGCGTCTGAGATTATTGAGATTATTCTGCTGCTGTGGATTTCTACATGATAAGCCACTTAGTTGAGCTTTCATTTGTGGCCAGGTCGCTCCCGAAAAGAAGATAAAAGCTTAGTGGGCCTTAACTAGTAAAATAAAAAAAATGGTTTACTTTTATCCGTAAATATATTCTGAAAGTGATTCGTTTACCGTGCCTGTAATTTGCACTCCTATCGTGTTTTTTATATGATGTGTTGCTGTGACGTTCTCACCCACCCCCTCCTGGACATCTGTGACAAAGAGCTCTATATCTCATCGGATTCATCTCCATATATATAAAAAGGCAAAGTTGTGAATATGTGTGTCTGTTCAAAATGTTTAGCATACTTCCCGACATGCAACAAACTT